CGAGGGCGTACAGGGCGGTTCCGAAGACCAGAAGAACGGACGCAAAGCTGCGGAGGTCTTCGTGGGGGAGGAGTTTCACGCATGCATGCGCGGGAACCACTTCATGAGAACTGAAATGGCCCGGATATCCCACCGCGACAGGATCACCGACGGCGAGGCCATGAACGGCGGATCCAATGGCCAGAACCTTTCCTGTACATTCCAAGCTGCAAGTGGCCTCGGGTGTCTCCACTCGACCACTCAACGCATACACATCTTTGGCATTCAGGCCAACCCAACTGACCTTCACCAGAACGTCTTCCGGTCCCAGATCCCGCGTAGGCGTCTTGATGAATCGCACGGTACTGAGCTGACCAGGCTTTTCGAGGGACAGGGACACCGGTCCCGCGCTGCCGAGAGATTCTTGGACGGCGATGCCCTGGTCTTTGTTGCGGAAGTGATCGTTGATGCGGTCGTCGGGAACTCCACGGCTCACCAGCAGGCCGGATTGGCTTTGGAGGTACTCGTAGTCAGGCGGACAGCCTTCTGGTCGCCCGATGATCCGGGTCACATAATAGGAGATATCAGCCGGGCTCGCCTGCGGATCCATTTCCAGGGAGAAGATCTCTGTGGCCGGCTGCTCGATCATGATGGCGCGTGCCAGGCCGTGGAAGACTGCCCGGGTGGGATCGCTACCCTCATGCAGTCCCGAGCCACTGACCCAAACCATCCTGACTGGCTTCGCGAGGATCTTTTGGATGGCCGCGTATTCCTCTGGTGTCGCTCTTGCCATCACATCGTGCTGACGCTCGACAGTTGACACGACAAGGGTATTCTTGCCGATAGCGACGTTTCCAATATCCGTCAATTGACATTTCCCGACCGGTAAAGACAGATCGGCAGCGAGATGATCCCGCAAACGATCATCATCTTCGTGGCATGATGTGCGGGTGATCAGAAGAACATTGTCAAATTTCTGGGAAGCACGGTCGTTCTCCTTGGGTGCTAGACGCAGGATCCGTATGTTCGATAAAGCGTGGGCAACGACGAATCTTTCACCTTGATAACGCTCTTCCTGACCGTGACTGGCATCGATAATCCGTGTCGCTGGGTGTGTATGGAGAGCCAGCTGCTCGAGACGGGATGTCTTTTCGTCCGAGATCACCAGGCCAAAAGTTTGATCCGGGGACGCGGTCACAAACGATGCAAAGGCGTCCTCGAATGGCAAGGCATAGTCCTGAAGTGCAGCCACTTCCAGCTGGCCGTCTGGGCCCAACCGACCCAAATGGAATGTATTGAAGCGGCGGTGGACGGTCTGTGCCTTGAGGAGCTCTGATAGAGCCAGTGCTGCCAGGGACAGATCCGAAGAGAGAAAGAGAATATCGGCGTTGGGATCTTTATGCACCGTCAGATCCAGCACCATCATGATGTCTCTGCTCGAATCTGGAAGACGCCCGAGGTCGGTTGTGGAGCGAACATGCTCGATGGCAGCGGCAAATGCGGCGTCGTTGGGAATGTGGTCAACATCCGGCTTCCACACAAACCGATACAATGGATGTCGAACTTCCTCCATTTGATCACTGCCGGAATATTTGATGAGCTTCACCCCCTCAAAATGCGCCAAGGCATTCTGATTCGAGTCCAATAGGGCGGCTTTGGTGTCGTTGGTGGCAAACCCAGTCACGGTGGACACAGCGCGAATCGTCGCCGTACTCCCAGCAGATGAAGGGACTCGGAGACTTAAACGACCGAAGCTTTTTGGTACCTTAGCGGCCACCGATCCCAAATGGCCGCCAGCCGAAGCGATTAAAGTGGCTTGTAAAACATTATCCAGAACGGCCGGATGAATCAGATATCGCGGCGACGGTTGGGCAGATTCGAATCGGGGCTGGATGCTGTGCACCGTGGCCTGGGCATATAAAACCCCCTTGGTATCTGGCGTCAGAATTTCCTGCATGTGCTGAAAGGTGGGACCATAGCGCAGACCACATTTGTGCATACTTTCATACCACATCCGCTTGCTCTTGGATATCAGACGACAGTCCGTGTGAGGGAGCTTGTAATGCTCGAGACTGGTTGATCCCATCTCTAATTTGACAGAGCCACGGGCGCGAATAATGGGCGTATCAACCGCAATAGACACGATCTGGAAATCGTACCAATCTTGACACCGGGTCAGGTTGGAGATCTCACGGGGTACCAGCTCCGTGTACAGCTCGATGAACTCATGTTCGGCGATAGGCAGCGCACTCGGCAGGTCCACATTCTGAAAGCTGACAGAATAATCGGCCAAGTCGTGGCTCATTGCCACGCCACGAGCTTGTAGGACCGCTTCCACAGCCATGCCCAGATAAGCGGCTCCGGGGAATACGGTCTCGTTGCCCAGCTTGTGGTCTCTCAGCCAAGGGACATGATCCAGATGCAACCGGTTCCGCCAGCCGAGTGTGATCAGGCTGCCGCCAGGCACGGGGCTCCCCAGCAGCTCATGCCGTGGGAACTTTCGCTCGCGAGTCTCGCGGGCCAAACGAGACTCATTCCAGAGGAGCGTCTCGTAGTGCCAAGGATACGTGGGAAGGTCGTGGAGGAATCTGGGTGGGCCACCTGAACGGGGATAAAGAGTCTGTAAACGAGGGAAATCGACGGGGAAGCCACGCGTGAAGAGATCGCCAACAAGCTCCAGCAGGGAGCTCAGGGAGTCCTGGCCACGCTTGAGGGTTCCGAGATACCGAGTGGATTTGCCCAAGGTCTGTAAGATGGGCAGCTTCAGTGCCGTATGTGGGCCAACCTCGACCAGATAAAAGTCTTTCAGCGAGTCAGCAAGACTGAGTAGACCATCGGAAAATTGTACTGGAGATTCCAGGTTTCGCCGCCAGTAAGTTGTCGTGCGAACATCCGACTTGCCAACCGTCCGGCGAACGACTGTGGACATCATGCATGAAGCTTCTTTCTCGACCGTATCTCCCTCCGCTGAAGCGTCGGGGAAGATGTTGGCCTCTTGAAGTAGACTCTCATACGTGGGACCGACCACCTCCATTTGATGCGAATGATATGCTTTGTCACCGGTTTTCAGTTTTCGTGCAAAGATCCCCGTCGCGGTCAGAGAGGACACGATAGCATCTACACCATCACCGTCGCCGCTGATGGTCACATTATCCGGAGAATTGATACAAGCCACTCGCACCTGGCTGTTGCCCGCGCACTTTTGAATCCACTCTTCAGCTTTCTCAGAGGTAAGTCCCACTGCCGCCATCGTTCCCAGCGGAGCGCATTGGGCTACGGCAAGTCCGCGATAGTATGCGAGGATAATTGCTTCACGCATATCGATCATATTGGCTGCGTAGGCCGCCGCCACCTCACCAGAAGAATGGCCGATGACACCATCGGTTGGAATGCGCAATACCCGGAGAAGGTCCACGAGCGCAATCTGCACCGCAGTGGTCATAGGCTGCGCATACGCCGCTTGATTCACGGAGGAATCGACCGACTTATCCTTCAACATGGTCGAGATTTTCCAGGATGGTGGATGGGGGAGACCTGCTAGCGCGTCGTCCATTTGGGAGATCGCGTTGGCAAATACCGGAACCTGCAGTAACTCTTCCGCCATGCCTTGCCATTGAGCCCCTTGACCGGTGAAGACGAATGCAAATTTGCGACTGGCAGCCAAAGCGGGCTCCTCCGTCGCAGTGGCTCGTCGAAGATTGCTGACGATCAGATCTTGGCCGAGGGTCTCGGGACGTGCAATCACAAACCCGCGCGCTTTCAGATGAGAGCGACGCTCCCCCAAGGTGTAGGCGAGATCCGCGGTGACGCTGGCTGGGAGATTTAGTTGTGCCAACTGCTCCACTCGTTTCTCCAACGAGTAGCTGTCGTTGGCGGAGAATGGTAGTAAATATGGCCGGGTTCCGTCTAGTTGGCTCTGGGCAGCCCTTGAATTGTCGTCCTCTCTCGAGCAGCTTGCAGCAAGCTTGCCAACTGAGCCAGCTTCTTCAATGATTGCGTGCGCATTGGCTCCGCCATACCCAAAGGCATTGACACTGATGCGGCGACCGAGTCCCGAGACTGGCCTGGGAATTGGAGTTGCTTTCTGCACGATCTGAATGCCGTTTTTCTCCAGCTGGAGCTTGGGATTCAGGTTCACTATCCCAATGGTTGCAGGCAGCTCGCTCCGTTCGAGGGCGAGTGTCGCTTTGATGATGCTCGTCAAGCCACTGGAAGCCTCTCCGTGACCGAGATTTGGCTTCACGCCGCCCACCAGCAGTGGAGAGCCACGAGGCTGCTCTTCACAAAACACTCGAGTAATTGATTGAGATTCCTAAATAGGTAGGAAATTGTTCATGGATCAGCATGGACACGTATTTTTGAAGATTGCCTCGGTGTCGCCAACTCACCATCACATCACCGACAGCCGTACCAGTCCCATGCATTTCTACATAGGCTGTGTCGGAAGGACTTAAGCCCGCTTGATCGTAAGCCTTTCGCACCACGGAAATTTGGCCGTCAATGCTTGGTTGGGTAATTCCAGGGGTGCGGCCGTTACTATTGGTAGCGGTGCCGCGGATGATGCTTCGGATCGGATCCCCGTCGCGGATCGCATCGTCCAAGCGCTTGATGTATAGAGCATTTACTCCATCTGCACGGCCATAGCTGTGATGAGTGTTATTTAATAGTGTCAACTACATTCCAAAGGAATTGACTTACCCATCTGCAGAGGCATCAAACGTGTGACACACCGAAGTAGGTGAAATCACCCCGGCCTGTGATGCATAGACGTGAGCATCGGGGGATTGGAGGAGATTCACACCGGCGACCACAGCGGAGTCACACTCGCGATTTCTCAGGGCCGAGACCGCCTGGTGTAATGCGTAAATCGAGGCGGAACAAGCAGTGTCAATGGTACAACTGGGGCCCTTGAGATTGAAAACATGGCTAATTCGATTGGCGAGAATCGATGTTCCCATTCCCACCCCGGAGTAGCGAGTGAGCCATTCTACATCCTTGGTCTGCAGGGAAGCGTAGTCTTGCAAGAAATTGGCGACTTTGGCCGTCAGATTGTTTTTCCCTTCAAATCTAGTGTAGATGGTTTATAGTATATTCACATACCGTAACATCCGACTTGCGCCCCGGAAACTTGACCCCACGAGTATCCTGCACTTTCAAAGCACTCAAAGACTACCTCGAGGAGTTTTCGTTGCTGGGGGTCCATATCGGCCGCTTCCCGATTATTTATGCCGAAGAACTGGTTGTCAAATTGACGAATGTCTTCTGTCAGGAGGTATCCCCCTGGCCCCACCGCGGTAGCAGGCTCATCTTTGCCCCCGGTATAGGCGTCATTGTTGAAGCGTGAGGCTGGTATCGGCCCAGCTGCACAGCGTTCTTGCTTGAGGAACTCCCACAGCTGGGATGGGCTCTCTATGCCACCAGGCAGGCGACACCCTAGAACATTGGAAGTTCCATATGAATATGACCTTTGAGACATTCATAGATTGGACTAGCTAAGCAAATCACTTACCAATACCAATGATTGCAAATCCCTCGCTCGGAGAACTCGTGGACTGAGTATACCCAATTGCTTGATGTTCGAGCCCTGCCGGAAGTTGCATTTTGCTAGAGGAATGCTGTCTGTTTCAAGTGAGATGGGAAACTTGAAGGTGTGGAAGGGTGGAAGGACATGGAACGAGGCTCAATGCATATCGAGCGCCTTAAGTACTTGCACTATATATGCGCAATCTACATAGCCTTGGGAAATCGAGTCACCTAGCTCGAACGGACAATCGACTGCATTACATGTAGAGAACCATCGTAAAATACTAGGGCTTGTATACAAAGTTACTAAATAATGTATTAGTCTGACATTGCCACCGGAATAAAAAACGCTCAAGGGACTAAGTGGGGGGAGGGACCTTGTTCGAACTCTTGACATAGCACTAGTCTGTATATGGGCATTGTAGTACTACGGTTGACCCCCGATGATGTTTTGTTAGTATGGTGGAGCTGCGCGGGGATTTCAATCCTTTATCGCAGTGAGTCTCTCATCCAATATTGCCTGCGTGATAGTTATAGCTACGCGTTGACGTTAAAGCCTAGGAACATGTTATATTTGATGTCTTCCCCTGGATCTACCTTCCCAAAATCAACGAGTTCAAAAGCATCTTGATCGTGATGATGATGGTGGTTTCTATTTTATAAGGAATTTATGAGGTGATTGAGTATAAGCTTATCATAAAATTGCTTGAAACGCCTTCGTTACTAGAGACATATTTGATGAAGTGATCGTTACTAGTCTCAAGACCAGGTACTAACCAGGTAGATAGTAATCATTATTGGTGGGCTATACCAAGTATCAAAAAGAATTGGAATCCCTGCCGAGCTCCACTATAATAACCAGAATCACCGGGAATAAACCGGACTACTCCGTACTTTGTATGTTACTGTTAGATCTCCACTTTTTAGCCCCCGAACCCACCGCGGAAGGCAACAACAAACACACCACAATAGCCTGTACAGCCCCCAAGATCATCTTTGACACAATTCGCTCCTGATCAAAAACATGCGAATCGTTGAATCCTTCTACCAATTTTTCTTCAGGAGCAGCTGCAATGCCCAGGCAATGATACTTGGCGCCAGGAACTAAGATGAAACCTGAAGCAACCTTATCTAGGTGGAATGGATGACAATGAGGCGACAATACCATTGTCCAGGTCAAATGGTGGTCTCAAGTGTCACAGCCGTTAGACGACCCATACTTACCACTGGCAGATCTTACGGCCCCCAACACTCTGCATATGGGAGACAGACTCCTTATGCTCATAATGAGCGACTAAAGCAGAGGTTGGCCAACTAGTATCAGTATGTGTGTCTGGATAGAATAGATAATCAGAGCTAAGAATTTATTCCTTTCTTTCTTCCCATCTCACCATCGACTCGGGTAGTAGTAGGATTCAAACCGGATAGCCCTGAGCACATCCGCTACTCCGTACAGGAATCATGGGTCCTTCAGGGCACTGAGGCTACATGGATGTAGACACTAGACAGTAAAGTAATGATGTGCAGGGTAAATCACAGCCCACACTCAGAACCGTGCCCAGGGCTGAGGGGAAAGAGGAAAACGGAATGTTACTGTGGATACTGCGCTTAAATGTACTCTGTAAGTTTACATTCAATAGAATACATTACTTACCGCGGACAATCAGCCCATACGGCACTACTCCGTACACAGGACCAGATCCTAAAGCTAACCCTACCACCCCGATCATTTCCATGGCTGGTTCATGCGAGTATGAAGTATTCAACTGATCCCATATTCTGGTTATCGAATTAGTAACTTACAAAGTTGCTACTGCTAGATTAAATCCAAGGTTGACCACAAGGCTGATTTGAATTCGGGTGGATCTGTGGGATGGGAAACCGCCCGAGCGCCCCCAACCTAAAGCGAAGAAAAGAAATAATAAGCACTTGGTCCGTCCTCCCAAGGCCTGAACAGTTGCTGTGTCATATTCGGTAACTATTCACCAATGTATTATTACCATGTGTAACGCGATAGATTTTTGGCCCCAAAGCCAATCCCTACTAGTTTTCCTTACCTACCCTGTTCGGGCATTAAGATGACGCGTAATTCAATTCTCTAGAATACATCTGTACGTACAGCCGTTGTATCCAACGAATACTAGTTACTCGTAAAGAAAACGGTCAGGATCCACTCGGAGCTTGTGGTCTCTTTAACAACGGAATAGTAATTAACATCTCAAGTAGCTACTAAAGTAAAGCTGGGGGCGGCCCCCAACTCTAGCTACTTAGTACTACTATTATTTGGAATGTGTCGCACCTCGCTTCGCTCATTGGTCGGCTTTCACGTCGGCAGCGCTCAATTTGAATCTGATTTGTTAGGACAGTAGAAATGCAATGCATGACTCGAGATTATAACACAGCCCCCTCGTGGGTATCTTTCACTTGTTACGGAGTAACTCCGTATAGGAGGCTCTATCGCATATCAATTCCTCTTTCTGCTAGAAGATCATGTGCTAACATACACCTAGAGAGCCTCAAAACTTGGCAGAGCGGTCAAAATACCCACATGTAGCAGTATTATTCTTATGTTTTGACCGTAATACTCATTGACGAACGAATTCCTTGACAAGAAGGGCACTCCACTCCTCCAGGAATCCCTCCACAGCCTCCAACGGATAGAACGCTTCATTGAAATGAAGCGTGAGGTGTAACCGACCATCCCGAGTCCACGTATACCCTTGCAGTTTCTTCGTGACAAAGTCCACCCCGGCCCACCAATCCTCAATCTCCAACGTATACCGTGACCCTTCGTAACGAGGCTGCAGGAGATCATCAACACGGCCCAGCTGGCTCAGATCGACAGACGCCGACCCATTCCCGGCATTGACCACTTCCGCGGGCGTGTCCACCAACGAAGTCAGACCCTGGATAAGCAACGGCATAAAGCCGAAAGCATCGTCAATGCCCCGACGATAGAAGTCCGTCACGGCCCGACACGCCGACTCGTAATCCCTCCCATCTTGTATGTTGAAACTCTGCAGTCTACCAGTATGGTACGCCGCACCGGCACCAGCCGTGCCATTCCAGGGAGCCGGGAGATATCTCCGTAAATTGAACGGGTGCAAGAGCACCAAGCGGCCATCGGCGGGGGTCGAATGATGGGCGGCGGTCACCAGAAACGCACTCGCCACCGCATTCGTCACGGTGATTCCGCGTTTCTTGCTCTCCGTGATAATCTGCGTCGTCTCCTCTTTCGAGAATCTGTGGCTGACTCGAACGGTCGATCCGGGGATGGTAGTACCCGGCAACGCGTGTTTGACCCAACTCAGTGGCTCCAGGCTGGGATCAGTAAGAGTCGCTTGCCACTCGGCATCAAACGCCCTTTGGGTCGCTTCGGTGGCCTGAAAGCCAGGGAAAAGTAAATCATTCATTGCCGGCGGAAGGCGCGAGATTTCAGATCCATCGAAGACAATTTCTTGAGCTGGAGCAGACAGCAGTCTCAGAAAAGCGTCTTGCAGCATCATCAACCCTGCTCCATCGGTGCGCCAATGCGGGGTCCGGAACAGCAGCTCTCGCGAGGCCGGGACCCAATGGAGTTTGAAAAACGGAGATGGAGGAAGACTAAGAGCCAATCTCTCCGCCGAAGGCGCATTGTATTCTGCTTCTGGGTGGACGATGAACGTCTCCTCGAGCCATTGGTTCACGGCTTCGGGAGTAGGCACGGTATATCTGCAGAGCGTACCGGTCTCGTCGACAACGGTTGCGAGTTGTGGATGGAGGTGTCGTAGAGCCGTCCACGCTTGTTGCAAATCGGGGATCGAGGGCGTGTTTCGAAGCTTCAAAGCACCGATGATGAAATATTGTTGTCTGTGAAAACGGGCGCCCGTGGCGCCGATGGTTCGATGGAAGATTTCCAGGTCATCTAAGGGCCGGTCGTACTGGCCGGGCTTTGTCTGCACAAAGGGCATGGTTCTGATGTAGTTCAACGTAATGGTGGTTTCGGCTGCGAAATGCTATGCGGGGGGAATGTGGGAGTAGAAGAAGATTAGATCAACCTGAGGTATAAGATGCATTTAAAGGATTCAGGAGGACTCGGAGTACCTAGTGTAGTGGAGAACCCCCTTGGGCGAGAATCCTTCAGGGCTCCAATATGTGACATATATCCGGTATTTGTCGTATAGCGGCCACGTGGTTCCACCCTATGTTACTCGATTGCAATATCTCTGACAAACTCTGTCTCTGGTCGTCCGGAAAAAGGCTTACTTGCATATGTATGTACCCGAGTCCACAATTGGGATAAGGCAATGCTGAGTTGCGATATCTCGATTGGTTATTGGTTAAATTTCAGCATCCAAATACATATATTTACCTTGTTTAAACTGCAAAGTTGGTCTTAATACACATATGTTATATATTAACGAGCTTCAGTGCCGCGCCCATCTAATTACTTTGCAGAATCAATTACCGGGGGTATATTTAAGAGAAAAAGTAGACGCTGATTTCAGGGGTATATACAGCCTTCATGGGAATTTTTCAAGGAATAATGAAGGAATTATGAATAAAATGCATAGGCGTAGTACTCAGCCAGTAGGTACTGTCACTGTATGAGACCTCTAATATATATTTATAGGCTGAGCTGGGCCCATTCAGACCGCATCCGCGCCGCGATGGTCATCCGTCTCCATGTGTAAGGTTTGAGTGTCAGTTCCCGACGAATCTCCGAAGGGATCTGAGTTGATTCTGATGCCTGTCGAATCAATCAGTGTCTTATTGTCCGCAAAACGAAGATCGGGCACATCGTTGTCCCTGTGGGATCGGTTGCTGGGAGGGGTCATTCTGTAGTCAAAGGACTTCTTCGATCCGCGTTGCCCGAAGCTCCTCCATAGGCTTCGGAAGAGTTTGAGTACCGGCGCATATGTGGGAAGGCATGCACAAAAGATGGCGACACCAAGCTGCACCTCGGACGCGACCTCCATTGCCGGCAAGCTTCTGGGGAAGTGGATCGATGCTGGATTCCAGATGAAATATAATCGGACGACGCTAACAATGCAGACCCTATGAATCTAGTATCAGCAGGAGGATTCGCGCCAATCCACAGAGGCACTTGAGGAATTCTCTCACTCACATCCCACCTAGAAGTAGAATCCCACTAACAGACAGTTTCTTCGCCCTGGGGAGATTGAGGTTTTTAATCATCACCAGTGGCATTACCAGCATGGCAACATCCACGCAGAAATTGGTGAACTCAAAAGCAAAGAGGATGTGTGTGACCGACATGCAGTGGGTCGCAGACTCGGCCAGATTCCAGAACATCGGTATAGGACTGCATTGGAAGATGAAGATGAACTCGAACAGAATCCAGAAGAATAAAACCACTCCCACCATCGCCCAATTGAAGCGTTTGAATGGGACGGAGATCCCAAATAGGGTGTGATAGAGAGCGAGAATCGAGAGTTTGGTGATGTTGATCGCCGTGATAAAGATGACTCCGCTAAGGTAACTGACCTATTTTCGGCAGACGAATAGTTAGCTCTAGTATTTCTCAAGTTGTCGGTTGAATTATTTGTGACTGTACCTTTAGAAGAGCCACTCCCCAGGTAATGCCGCCATTCTCCAGATTTGTAAGGACTTGGGGTATACTCCAAGTGCCAGGCCCCGGTCCGTCGGCAGTATCTATGGATGATATTCCGATTAGCCTGAGTCCCGTATGCGCCATGATTTCTGCTTGGAAGTCGTACAGTTAATGACCAAAGAATAGAAAGCGATCGTAAATACCAAGGCAAGCACCATTGTTGCATCGGACAATGTAAGGCCCTGTCTAGCCTGCAAGCGAAAGACGAGTCGAAGTGCCACGGCCAGTATCGATAATATTAGCATGGATAGGGCGGCGCCCAAGTTCGAAGCACCACTTTGACTTAGATGCTTCATTTTTCGGAGAAGAAAAAAGGTCAAAAGACCAACGTTGCACAATCGTAATCAGAGTTTCAAGCGCTTTGAAAAGAGTGGTGGTCATCCAGCGACACGACACATGCAAGATAAGCGGTTGCCAGAAAGCAAAGTCCTTAAAGAGGACTAAGCTTTGGATCAACCCCCAATAAAAAAAAGAAAAGACAAATGAAAAAGAAAAGCAGGTGATAAGCACTGGCAGTCTGGTACACGGCCACGCCACTGTCAAGTTCACGAGTTGCTCGGTGGGGGCCAATTGTCTTCTTGTGCCTTGAGTATCTCGGAGAGGATAGAAAGACGTCAGCACGGCTAAACCCCGCCTCCCCCTATTCTAAGGCAGTCCACGGGCTTTTACTATGTTAAGGATGGACTTGAATTACTGGGATCACTTCTCCGTAGCCCCCATAGCCCCCATAGCCCCCATAGCCCCCAAGGCGCAATGGCTGTAGGAGCCCCGTTGAAACATAAAACGGGTGGTGGAATTAATGAAAACGGTGGTTGCGAATAAAGAGGCAGCCTTAAGAGGGAAGTGTTAGCAGTATCAAATGACACACACACACACACTCACTCTCTCTCTCTCTCTCTCTCTCTCTCTCTCAATGAGCAATGCGCAATAACTTAATACCAATAATGACGTACTATTAAGACCGGTTAACGCAAAAGAAGAAAAGAACCCGATATTACGCCGTAATACGCCAGGTAAAGAAATGAAATACACTGCATGCATCGATCCACCCGAAGGATGCTCAGGCTCCACAACCAGTACCATTTCCAGTTTTCCACACAGCCTTGAAAGTTCCACTTGTACCAGTCTTGTAACAAACATTTTGGGGTCCAACATGCAGATACTGATAGTAAATAGTAGCTACCACCTGCCAAGTGGGCGAAGGAATTCTGGGGGCGGATACTCGGATCGAAACTCTCCTCCAACATTTTGAAACCGATGTTAAAGGACTAGTTAACTAACGTTGGCACCTGGACATGGATAACAAAACTTATCAGGCCACCACCACCTGCTCAATCAGTACCTGGTCTAGCGCTCGGTCTCCCTCTTCCATCTCCCACTACCGTGCCTAACCTGATAGCTAGTTTAGTGTCTTGTAAGAGTAGAAACAAATGTACTAGCGTCGCAGGTAATTAATGAATGATCAGCGTGAAAACATGTTGCGATCTCTGAAGCTGACCGGTCACTTGCATCATTCAAGTCAGATTCAATTTTTATTTATTTTAGATATATACATCTTGAATGTCTCGATATTTGAGCTTAAATTGTTCGGGAGACAAAGCTTTGGGGTAAATCCCCCAACTCAAAATCATTCAACCACGTTGTGTGTGTGTGTGTGTGTGTGTGTGTGGGGCAAACCTGAACACGGCACCTCGACGGAGCTGGTTAGGGGAATCCGTAGAGAATTTGCTGGGTAGCATCCATTGCAAGATGATTCAACAAGCGGGTCAAATGAGAATTGTTACAACTCAGGATGGGGTCTCTACTGAATAATTACCAAGGAATCCTTTTTCCTAACTATAATCCAGAAATTGCAGTCTCATGATACTGTCCTTAGTCAGAGCCAACTGTAAAATATATAAAAAGACTTGAACCAGCGAGTTCATTCACAGGACTGACTCCCTGAACTACCTTTCTGAGCGAGGCATGCACGGTTTCAAGGACCTACTAATCAGAAAAGAATTAGTTCTCAAATGATTGGAGTATTTAAAGCTGTTTCAATACGAGATAAACCCCGATAATCCTGACCTGCATTTCTCACTTCCTGGCAGACATGACTAGATCAGAAACGTCACAGCAATTGCACATGCTCTGATCGAGACAAATGCCAGCCAATTGAGCTACCAATACTCGAAAGCGGCCGCGGGCTCACACACACCAGAATGTATCTTAAGCCTCATAGTACTCCGGCTTGACTCGTGGATGTTTCTGTTTCCTTGCCAGTGGCTCGACTTTGATTGCCGTTTTTTTTTTTTTTTTTTTTTTTTTTTTTTTTTTTCCGTCACAGTGTACGACAGTCCATATTATCGGTTTTGGAGTTCTATAATTTCACCCGCATTTGCACATCTTTCCAGAATATATATATATATATATCTGGCGAGCGCCGAAAGTTAATTTTCGAAGTAAGTAGACGAAATCATGAGTCTGCTACTTCGTAGCCGCCACGAGGGGATTGTGATGTCAGCAGCTTTGACGCAGATAGCCTCTTATGACCAGTGGCAGGCAGTCCGTGTTATGACCCCATTTTTTTTTTTAAAAAAAAAAAAAAAAACCAAATTATCTGTACCTTGCTTCCTCGCAATGATGCTTTCAATTCATATCTGCTGGTTTTTATCAATTCATAGCCGACCTGCGGCAGTACATATATAAACTTTTTTTCTCATCATCGCTTTTACTCCTTAAACACAGTTCGTAGAGAAATGGTGCACGAATGCCTCAGGAATCAAGAAGGGGAGCATTTCATCAATCAATCGTAGTTAATCCCACGTCTATCAGACACTAACCTAACAGTCCCCTCTCTGGGCAGTATTTCCGAGATATCTAAACAAAGTACCAACATCAATACCAGGTAACCAAACCCACAATCTAATCCAACCCATCTATACACACCCCAAATTCCCAATAAAAAAACAACAAAGGATATCATCTCTCACTCACAACGCCCTCCACCCCCTCCCCCTACCTACATCCAGCCCCAACCCCAACCCCAACTCCCAAGGGAGAAATCAAAAAAGTGAGAACCACTAATGCGTCTCCAACATCTGCGTCCCCTCCACCACAGGCAAATACTCCCTCCTAGCCTTACACCAAAACTCCACCTCAGGCCTCCACTTCCTGCCCGCCTCCCCATCCATCGTGCCGGACGGAACAACCACAAACCCCTCGGCCCGAGTACTAGTCACATACACGGGGGATCCACAGACGCGACAGAAGCGTCGTTCCAATGTACTTCCGGAATCCACTTTCGTGTCTTTGAAGCTTTGGATGAGTGATTCGCCGGATTTGATGGTTAGTTGCTGATACACAATTAGCTGGGAATGTCCTTTAAAGGAGGGAATAGGTTGAAAGGAGGAGAGGAAGGAGGGGATGAGACTAACAGATTCTTTCATAAAGCTGTTGGCCATGAAGCTAGACCCTGTGAACTTCCGGCAGTTTTCGCAGTGGCACATTACTCGTTTCATGGGTTCGCCGGTTACTTCGTATTGGATGCCGCCGCAGAGGCAGCTGCCGGTGATGGGTTCGGGGGTGGTGGTGGGATCCATGGTTGGGGGTGTGATTTTGGTTGTACTAGTAGTGAGGGGGTGGTTTTTAGGGTTGGAATGGATTGGATTGAATAGGAATAAAAGTAGAATAGTACTGGGAATCTGGTAGGTATATAAGTTATGGAGAATGATGGAAGAAGTAGCTGACAAATAAGCTTACTAACGCAAATCTGGCTGATTAATGCTGACTTGAGTGCCACGACGAGTTTATTTCCGCTTTTATGGGGAATGATTAGAATAGATAGTATTATTCTACATGAGTCACTACTGTATTTGTGTCAGATATAACTCATATGGTATTCGAAGTAATACATCCAGGCCAATGGCTCACGTTAAGCTCAGCAATGCTGACTCCTATCGGTTTCCATCAGCTTCGATAAAGCGCCGGATAAGCTGCCTTGATCATGTCCGCGCCCTAGCGTGGTTTCAGCATGCATTCTTCACCAAACTGAACTTCTGGATTCTGAAGTAGTGACTCACCTTCTCTCCGATCATATACACGGCATTTTGAATTCGACAGTCAGGGATCAGAGGGATAATGGACGCATCCACGACGCGAAGATTTTGCACGCCGTGGACGCGCAGCTCCGGGTCCACCACGCCGTGTGCAATGTCCTTGGACAGTCGGGCCGTGCCGCAGGGGTCTATGACGTGAACATTAATTAGTTGCTGTGCGCGTCCATGCTGTGTGGCAGAGTATTAGCTTACGGTATCCCGTCTGCGACCGTTCCAAGATCATTTTGTTCATGGCTTCATCTGAGTGTCGGGGCATGGGCCACGGGTAGTCTTCGCCGAGGATCTCTTTCATTCCGTCCCCGGTCATGAGGATATCGTCCACGAAACGGACGCCCTCTCGCAAGGCTAGGACGTCAAGTTCATTAGAAAAGAAGTTCAGATTGATGTCTGGCTGTTGGTGTGGATCGGCTGAGTTGAGCTTCACTTCTCCGTTTCTGGACAGCGGGCGGAGAAGATCGACGATGACGGTTAGCCAGTCGCCTTCGGGAGGAACGGGGAAGTGCCATTGAAAAGCGTCGGAGAACATTGGCTTCTTTCATCAGATACACTACTCCTGAAATCTAAATGTTTAAGGGGAAGGGAGGTGACTTACCACGAAATCAATCTCAAAATGCGGCTGCCCCTCCGGTCCAAATGGGTCCTTATCACCATTCTGCGCCTTTGCCTCACGATACTCCTTGTATCGCTCCAAACGGTCATCGATGCGCGGCAGGCCTACCATTTCCAACAATCCACTACTAAAGGGTCCCTTCTTGCTATTGCGGTACTTCTGCAAAGCAGCGCTCTGCGCAGGACCAGCACGGAGAAGGTGGCTATCGAGCCCAGTCCCATCTTTCAGACGAAACACATGAGCAAGAATTGGATGATCATGCAGGTTCTGGCCAACATGTTCCGACTGCACGACCGAGTCAATACCATGACGAGCCAGCTCCTCTTTCGGACCAATTCCCGAGAGCATTAGCAGCTTCGGTGTCTCGAAGACGCCGCAGGCGACAATAATCTCATACTTGGCTGTGAAGGTCATTTCAGTTCGATCGGCGCCACTGACAGTGACGCTTGTTGCCTTGAGTTTGTCATCGAAGTTGATCTTCTTTCCGATCGCAGAGCTCAGGATAGTCACGTTTGGCTTATCAGCCAGATATGATGCACTGGTCGACCGCACCCCACCGTAGATACTGTTGACACAGTGCGTCAGACCCTCCATTTTACCGGAGTAGATGTCCTCGCATGTCTTCTGGCCTTTGCTGGTCCATGCTTCGGTTAGGGCGTCGCGAAAGGTATGTAGTTCGGGGACGAGGTCTGCGTGAGATACGTGCAGGGGACCGTTGCGGCCGATTTTTGATAGCTCTGAGGGGTAGAGGTTGTCGTCGTCATGGTAAGTAGCGGGCTAGTCCAGCACATGGTTAGTACAATCCCTCCATTCCTTGTTCATCCATAATTTACCTTATTGAAATACTCCTCACACCCATCCCAACTCCAAGAAGGACCTCCATATTCAGCCCATGCATCGAACGTCCCCTTACTACCCCGGATCCAGGTATAGTAGTTCAAGGAGCTACTACCACCGAGCACCTTGCCCCGGGTGTTGGGCTTCTCTACCCGTTCATAGTAGGGTCGGTTGATCATGGTGGACTTGTATGCCCAGTCATATTTGCTGTCACGTAGCCCAAAGGCAGATGCTGGTGTGGTTATTTCTGAGATCTCGCTCGGGTTGCTGGTTATGGTCAGATTGGCACAGTGATTGATATTGGTTGTCGAGAGGGCATACATACCTAACGCCTGCTTCAATGACCAGGACTCTCACGTCCGGGTTCTCGGCCAGCCGACCGGCCACGACATTTCCAGCTGTGCCGCCTGCTTCCTGTCAGATGGTAGATCATACAGGCGGGATAAAGATAGAAACATACCACCGACGACGACAAAATCAAAGCTATCTTCAACAGGAACAGTCATTGTTAATGAGCAGATAATCGAGATATGACCGGTGAACTAACCACTTGTGAATCAACTATTTTCTAGTACTATAGTATGTTAACACTACCACTTCGGTAGTATTTATGTAGCCCAGATAGTACTGACCAAGGGTTATGTCAATATGCCGGTACTATTCAAATGTGTCGAGAATGACGTATACCGGCTACTCCACCACCAGCACGTAAGCCGCGCAGACAACTTATCTTGTAACTTCATGACTTGGTACTAAGTCATGCCGATCACCGAGTTATTTCCGTCTTATCAATATTGTCAATGTGGGGTGTATGTAACTCGTCCCTGCTTTTTCTAGAGAACCGACAGCATGGCAATGGTGTGGGTGGCTGATTGACCCACTCATCTGCCGGACTAACGGCTGCTGAAGCTTGTTTTTCCTCGAGCCCTGTGGTGATCCGGTGGGACCAGGTCGGATGGATCGGATGCTGATGCTGAAGGGGGGAAGTGTCTGTGAAGCAAGCAGGTTGGGGACCTAACCTGTAGAAATACTCATCTAAGAGTACCTTGGTGGTGCTGATGGTAATCGAGGGTCCACTCAAGTATACTTTGTTATTCTGTGTATCCCCCTCGGCTACCTCTACGATGACTATCAGAAAAATTCTCCCAAAACGGTCAAATTCTTCGAAAGGGAACCAAGCAACTAACAAATCTCAGTTAGGTCACTACATATCAATCTTTCTTTCTTTCTCGACGAACATCTGACGGAGGACCGAGAGTACGAGAAGGAGATCGGTAACTCCGTCGCAGTTCATCCAGTACGCCATACTTCAATGTCACTGCCAACGATGCAAAACACAGCCAAGCAAAGTATGGCGCTGCCGGAGGGATAAAAAAACCGGTGATAATTGCCATGAGCCCGCAGCCGAAGAATGCAAGTGCACCGCTCTTCTCACGTTTCCATGATCTGTCGAGATCGGCAGAGTCTCTGTTAAGGTTTCCGACATCATGTAGTACCACTTGCCGTGGCAAAGATACAAAATTGAACCACGCATAGCAGGCACCTTCGTCCGTATGCCCTTTAATTATTAGCTTCCCCACTCCATCATCGATGGCCATTCTGTCTGCAATAGCGAAAGTCCTCTTTGCCGGAACCAGCAAGTGGAATATCACGTTATCTGCATTTTCCGGGTCTCTCTTTCGAAGCGACCGACGGTTTTGCCACATAAGAAGGAAAACAGCCTCGAGATCGGAGCACATCCCGCCAAATGAGGCTTGTAAGGGCCTCTTTTGGACCTGTGTCCTGAACTCTTCGTTGGCACTGGTTGTCGGATTGAAGACATAAAAGGCATGACGTCCATCGGCCTTTCCTCCGCCAACAGTCTTAGTTTCATTGTCGACGAACTTGTAGATGAAATATCCGAAGCCGTGGAACTTCCAGCCCTGGACCATTGGTGTCGTCTGATAGCTTGTCTCATCAGGAATGTCCTTGGGGTTTAATCCGATGGCCCGTAACTCCTTCGCTTTTGTCTGTATAGTAAGGGCCGTAGTCGACAGAGCACAGGTAGCAAAGACGGCGGTAAATTCACGCCCAGCATTGAAGGAGTTATTGAAGACTCTGAACACTCGGGGTCCGCCTCTAGAGAAGCTGTTTATTGTTTTGTTAATGACCTGTTGGCTTTGATTATCCTGGTGGATTCCAGCTACGTACCCATCGGAGCTGTGTTGAATCTTGTACTCTTCACTGCCATCGGAACCGGTACTTGATACCACTTCTGGAAGATCCCCGGCAGCCGCTGCGAGATTGCGGAGTATCTGTATCATCGTCTGATCCGAGATGTCATTTGGTTTATTTCTGACGGGCTGGGACGTCTCCGAAGTGTTCTGAGAAACGGCTCCAAGGATGCGCTGGGCTGTACGACCTGCAGATTCAGCGAGACTATAAACTGGCTTGTTGAGGAGAATTGCAAGGGCTTGTATGAAGTTGTGCCATCCTACCGCAGCAGGATTCATAAGAGGCTTCAGGTCATCGAAGAGTCTGACATAGGCTTCATCGCGAGAGGTGCCGGGATAGCGCTGCTGTATGAGGCATTCTATCCCTGTCGCATTCACGATGTTGGCAGACATCTAGCCAAGAGTTCAGTATGAAGCAAGTACAATGTTGGACATAGAAGGATTCAGCTGCGGTAAACTGTGGTGGTCACACAAGCGAGTCAGAACGTGGAAATCTCGATAATCAAGGGTCTAATACATGTAAGTCGAAAAACGTGTTATCTGAGAATGCGTGTCGATGTAGGGACAAAATCACCGATGTTGAAGAGATTACAAGAGTGAAAACGGAGGGAAAGTAGTATTGCTGCGGCGCAGCACCCCTCAGCATTTGGATTGAAGACATCCGGCCCAATCAATCAACAGAGGGTGAGTGGCTTGTAACAGTAGATAATTATGGTTCAAGGCAGCAGCGGAAAGAAGCTCTGCATGGGATAGATCCAGTAAATGAATTGTGCTGTATATCGCTGATGCAAAGTAGCATGAGGCGGGAGGTCAGAGGTGTGCTATTGAGGAACACGACCTCGTTGGTTAATCTCCATCACCCCTGCCTGAGAGACTCTTTCTCTGCATGCTAAGTTATCATATGTGGCGGTACTTTCTCATGGAGGTAGATCATTCCATAAGAATTACATATCATAGTCGTCACTTCCCTGTTTGTTTTTCTTCGTTTGTCCGATTGACCCATGATGGCCTAAGAAACTTATTTCTGCCCTAATTAGGTCCTGTGCCAGGCAGCTAGATGCTATTAGTGTTAGCAAAAATATAAGTTCATCAGAACGATAGGGAGAGAGAAATAGGCTACCAAGTATAGGTGACAATTTTATGACTATCGCATCTTTCCAGTATTGTGGCTCATGGCTGGTATCATAGATGTCTAAACAGACAAAAAAAAATAAACTCCATTAATTAATCTGCAGTAGTCTTATTTTTTGGGGTGGAAGAAAAAGAAATAAACACAAAAAATGGAGCTGCGGGGAATCGAACCCCGGACCTCTCCCATGCTAAGGGAATATTATACCACTAAACCACAGCCCCATTTATTGAAGAACAGGCCCGCTATTTTGCCTTACATTCCAAACCTACGCTTATACCAACTTTTCTATGACAACTAGACCATCTTTGTTCAATAGTAATGCCAATTATAGCTATGGTATCACTTGCAGTTAACATGATTCTTAGTTTCTCCTCATAAGCCGTATCAAGGGGATAGATACTACTCTTGAATATAGTTTGCATTCTTTCTTGTCGACCAGACTAAGTACCATCGAAGTTCATTCACCTTGCCTTCCACAAATAAAATATATAACCTCCGCTCAGACAGCAATATACTACTTCCACTGGTCAATCAACCCAAAGTACTTATGAACCACCCCCTCATCCCTCCCACCCATCAACCACCCCAACAACCCTATCCTCCTCTACCGGAATACTATCATCATCCTCCAACGCGTCCCGATCCCCGTCCCCATCCTCAAACACCGTCCAATTCCCAACCCCAGTCCGATAAACCACCTCCCCAAGCTCCAACCCACCCGGCGCAAACACCACCATCCCACTCTCCAATCTATAAAACTCAATTCCTCCTTTAGCATCAATACCCCTCCTCGCAGGGCCCCTCTTCGTATACTCATTCCCATCATTCGTGCAATTCGGCCTACTCTTACAATACTGCAACCGACTGGCATTCGTAAACGAGACACTAAACCGACACGGTGCAGTCCCATTACATCCCTTGCCTTGGAACTGTCCGCGCGAGTTGTAGAAGTTGCGGAGGACTTGGCCTTGGGCTGCGTGCCGATACCATTAACCCGTTAGCCCAAGATGTACATATAGCCAGTTAAGGAAACCTTGGCTAGTAAGGTAGGATGGGTTCGCACGTGCCATTATTGTATCGCGCTAGAACGCAGCGATTTACTTGCCCGCCTCTGTCGGACTCCCGCACAGATCGAAACGGGTACTCGTCGCATTGGTAGCCTCTGCCGTAGGGGGATTTGCTGCACCGGTTGGAACTACCACAGCCGGCTTCGCGACTGCGGCGGTCGGAGACTTGTCGGCTGGGTTTGTCCCAGGTTAGGGTTGTGCCGAGGCGTTTGCACTTGGTGCCTGGTGTGGTTAGGGGGGATTGATGTTGGTGAGAGGTATGTTTGGGGGAAGGGGGGTACCGAAGCACATGTTTTGGCATACGTCTATTTGGATGGAATTAGTTTATGATGTGCTGGAGGGATGGGCGAAGGGAGAGGGTGGCGTACCGCCAACATGGGAGTTGTCGCAGTTGAATGCTACGCTTACTGCTGAGGAGAGGGTCATTAAGGCTAGAAAGCCGAGGAAGAGGAAGAGTTGCTTCATGGTGCCCTGGGATGATGCTCAACGGCCTGTGTATAGAGGACTGGGGGTTGGTAGGCTTCATATTGGAGGCTTTATACTGGTGGATATTGGTAGTTGTACTGTATCCATAAGAAGCTTTGAGGTGAGGGTTTCAATGGTACAGTGTCCATTCTAACTGAGACATTGTATCTGGTCTGAGAGGCCTGTGGTACAATGCTAATTTGAATTGATCTGCTGAGCATTAACCACGCCGAAATTGAGACAAGGGTTTGCGTAGCTGCCGTGACAATCTCGGGAGTATAGATGAAGATGTGACAGCCGTGGGGGAGAAAAGACGGATGGAAAGAGGGGGGCTCTTACAGTGAGCATAGTCTCTCGGTCTCGCAAGGGCCTGAAAAGGTGGCTTCATGTAGTGGTCGTGTGAGGTTGATAATGATATATGGAGGATTGTAGATTGAGGCAATAGCAAATAATATCGCGTTACACGCTTCATTATTGTACGAGACGAATATAGATGAAAAGGAGAGTAAGTATGTAGCACAACATCTAAGCTATTCATCCATGCCAGCGTTCACTCCATGCCCCATTTCCCAATTGAACTTGCTGGAAGAGGGGCTCTCATCACCGAAATTCAAGCTTGACAAGAGGATATTAGCATTGTCGATGTGGAAAAAGAATTTGTCCATGGGGCATTCTTTCTCCTCAACATCCGCGTACACCAACAAGAGTCCTTTCTCTTCCCACTCGCGAGTGGTGACAACAACAAAAGCTGTGGGGTACCAATGAATGTCGCCTTCGGCACCGCCATCATCACGCGGAGTAAATTCCTTGTCCAGCTCAACGTGAGCCTGGACGACATCTCGGAGGCTTTTCCCACTGAAGTCGTACACGGTAGGGGTGCGAACAAGAGGCATCGCTTCATCGGTCATCTCCCGCTTCCAGTCCCGGTTCAGAGCGGTGATCAGCTTATCCAGTTCTTCGGAAGACAATTCAATCATGGAATAGAGAGCAAAGGAGGCATCATCCCAGTTGGCATCGCTGCCTTGCTGAAGTTCCGGACAGGTCGAAGGGAGGGTGAGATCAAGGTGGGCATCCATGGCTGGGAACGATGCTTAGCTAGAAAGGCGTGAGCACATGGTAGGATTTGGAGAGTCATCAGAAGGATGCGGCTTACTTGTTGACGGGAAAGATTGTGAGACGTAGCAAATTTTTCAATGAAGCGATTATATCCTGCAGGGGAAAGAAGAAAGGATCGAGATGCTGGATGAAATGAGGTTGCACAGAAGAATAAATAGGAGGGGAAAGGGGAGGGGAAGGGGGCTGAAGCTTCCCGACTGATCTTTATAGCAGCCGAGCGGTTGATGCCACTCTGACGCAGGCAACACCAATGCCACCTCCCTAAAGTGAATGCCAGAGTTACATTTCACCCGCTCAATGTCTTAGAATGACAGGGTCTGTACTCAGGAGACACTTTGTCAGTTGGAGTCTCTCTTAGCACTGTTGTACAGACTCGAAGCAATATCCGGTATTCCGCTCACGGTCTATGGAGAATCGTATCTCATTCGCGGAGTCTGTACTTTCATCCACGTATCAAGTGGCGCAGCCAAATTGAGCAAGGTTCTCACTGCAATCTCGCCTCGTTGAGGTTTCACAAGTCTCCAAGGCTGGAAGCAATGACTGACCGACTGCCGCATCCGTTGCGAGCCAACAGCTCGGCCAAGTCCATTCACTTGAGACCAGAATTTACCTCCTGCATCATGTCCCTGTCAATCTGGGGTCCCTGAAATGCTACCCTTCCTAGTCCATACCACAACAGGATCACAAGGCCAAATAGACCAATTAGCACGGGAGCCGTATAATTCATCGACTCGGCTTCTACCGGTAACCCAAGAGGCAGGCAGACAAACACTCCAAGTATAACAATCCACAAAATGACAAAGGCATTGCAGAGATAGCCGAGGCAGCCAAGCTTTAAGTATCGAAATGGTAGTGCGCCCGCTCTGCCTTTCATTAAAAGTATGCCCTGAGGCACCACGTAAGTTATGTGGAGGAAGAGTATCGCACTGTTGGTGATCGTGTTGAAAGCGCCCGAGGAAACCAAGTATAACAGACTATAGATAGCAACAAAGCCAAAGCTAGCAACTGTGGTGCGAACAGGGAACTTTAGCTTGTCGTCGACTTTAGCGAAGTATCTTGCTGACGGGGAGTTAATCTAGTCTTGTCAGGTTGAAGTCATCGGCGTGTCATACAGACGCTTACATCGCGAGCTAAAGCCCATGCTACTCTGCCGCACGTCACCCATTGAGACGGGATTGAGGCTATAGCTTGGCAGTTAGCTAAAATGGCGCGTGCAAACGTGTCTTTCGGACTTACCAGCATAGACAACCAAGAGCCACACTGAGAGGAAGGTAGTAACGCCTTTGCTCTTTGTGCTGAATATAGCAGTTAGGACTAGTTTGACATAGAGGTCGACTCGGTAATACATACGCCTGATACATCACTTCCAAGCTTGGCAGTTCCGAATTGATAACCGCTTCCATATCGGACATGCAAAACATCAGTGCAACCGACAATGGAAGACAGGTAGCGAGACTCAGAATAACACTCATGGTCATGGCCTGAGGGACACGCTTCTCTGGTTGAGGGAGCTCTTCGCTAATGTGGATAGCTGGGCATCATCGGTCGGTCAGTACGCGACAGGGAGTAGTGAAGCTCACTGATACAGACATACCAGCATCAATTCCTGTCATAGAATACATCGTATTCATTATGCCCAGCATCCACGCAGTACCTTCGTTCCAGCCAGATGTTCCATACCCTCTTTGCAGCAGGAATGACACTGGTTGTTTTTCCTGGCACATACCAAGTGAGATAGTGATAATGAGGGCCATGCCCGTAAGAGATAGAAAGAGGGCCGTCTGAACCGTCCAGTTGACTTTACTCGGAGCCAAGAATATCGGTGTCACTAGTGGATTAGCTACTCTGAGTTGCCATTTTGGACGATGATTCTCACACGTGAGCAGAGATATAGCAATATATACCAGGTATATATGCCACTGCGCGGCTGTATATTCTGTGTGCCAAAATTTGACTATACCCGCAAGGGAGGCCGTAACCATCTGGACACTGGAAGATCTGCAACGATCATCAGGGCCTTGTCGATCGACAGATCTGGGGCGATGCAACCCACGTCACTATCCACCATGCTAAGACAGACATACATCCGACCACGAACGCTGAGAATCTCTTCGACTTGGTCGGACTGAGCATGTAGCAAAAATAATACTGACCTCCGCTTGACTAGTCCTGTGAGCCATGCGATCAAAACAAAGCTCAAGGATGCAGTTGCAGAGAGCATACCGGAAAGGCCGATGCCAGCTCACTGAGCCCGAGAATTACAATGATCTGAACGACAAAAGCGCAGATAGACCCAAATATTACTAATCGAGGACCGCCATAAGCCAGGATCTGGCCAAAGTTGCTCTGCATACGATGGACGCATCAGAACTTGTCTCTGACGCTCTGGCATAGATGCTTACCATGTATCCTGCCCAGGAGTTCGTGATTGAGAAAGATATTCCAAGAGTTGAAAGCCAATTGAACTGGCGCGGCATTCCATCCCCGTTAATTTCAGGGGTGACACCGCCGTCCAAATCGAGAATGCCGATTTCGCCATCTTGGATGCTTTCGAGGCTCACGATGGTACCTTTTCGATCCAAATCCGCTGTCATTTTCATTATATAGGGCTTTCAAAGTCTAACAAACTCTGTCGAGCCCTATATTGACGGTTTAATAGTCCGAGCTTTTAACCTTGTGAAATTGGCATCGGTCTTTAAGAACTGTCGCATCTCTACAAGGTGAAGCAAGGGGCCTGTTCAACTGATCGTGCTCACCCTACCCTTGCTTTGAAAAAATGGGCCTGGACTGCTTTTCCTACAAGAAAGTCACTATCTGTCGCTCTTGTACAACATGACTCGCGTGGAGGGTAATCATTCACATAGTTCTGGTAGAGTTGGGTCCATGACAGCCAGCGTTCGGTCTATCATTAGAGATTGAAGACAGCGAATGCACGGAACAGGATAGCCGCACCCTGCTTTACGGGCGAACTACACCGACTTCATAGCCAAGCCATGCCCAAATCCCTGAGCAAGCGGCCAAGGATTCTTCAAACATCTTTGCCTTGTCGCCTACGGTTCCAGCAGCTTCCAAGGTCTAGACTTTGACTTTAGAAGCGGACAACCTTACATCCTTTTCATTCTTGGTTTCTCAACATCCGCCATAACACCCAATAGAATCCGCGGCATATTATTTCCCTCGTCCGCCACCCTCACAGCCGGTCGCGGTGGCACAGCTGAGGGTTTCGCACTATGCTCTTTCACATCCCAAAGATGCGTACAGTCCTTTGAGATGCCTACCTTGACATGGTCATTCTCATTAGCCGCAGACGCTCGATTGGAGAGATCAAGACTCGAGACTTCTACCATCTATCATCTGTATGTTGTAAAAGACATCTCCATTAGTTGTCAACCCACCTAAGAGCATCGGAACCGCTTTGTGTTCGAAAATGGCACTTTCATAACTGACACTGGCGTGCTAGGAATCCGCCACAACGAAACAAGCCCCAACTTTCTATGCTAGCATTTGCGCCACAGGGAGAAATGAAAGAAAACAAGATAGGCCCGCCTAGCCCCGACAGGCATGTCTCACTCACGTATGCATATACGCCATGTACAAGATCATATTTGGCACAAAAGACTGCCTTTTATTCCAGGCTTCCGACTCTTCAGAGTTGTGAAATCAACCCTTCGTGGAGACTTATCCATGACATTAAATTTGTGAGACCATCCGTGATAGCATGGTTCTTTTACTTATCAATATTACCACGAATGACATCTCGATACTGTGAACATTATTTCATGCTATACGATCCATCATTTCAGCCTCGATGGATTTTTTCCACCACTGAAGATGTTCATAGTTTTCCTGCTATATCTTCGATCCTTCTAACAACGGGGCAACATGAACGTTGGACAAATCACGATCCTTTGAAACGACTCAGAGGTAGTTGATAGGTTACGAGGGTCTTCCTTAAACACATTCTATGGCTTCATGGCCATTCTTCGCCTCTCCGTTGGAACAATCAATCACCTCATGAAGCCCTGGCGGAACAAGTGACCTTCAGCTCACGGCCCCCTGCGGCTCAGCCCTGCGTAGGTTACTAGTTATCTACCTACCTTCGAAGTTCTTAGTCAGATGTAGAAATCTCGCGGCCTAAACTAACTAGGATCCATGTAACCCTTTCCAGGCATCCATCATCAATCATATAGACAATAGCTAAGCATCTCATATGCTGACAGAGTCCCAATAGGCAGCAACATATTCGCTCCCTTGCTTTATCAATCCAACCTTATCTTCCTCCCCTCCTTCTATTAGTTACTTTGTATGTATCCAACCCACAACAATGACCTCAATATCAACATCCACCCTCCCCACCATCACCCGCTCCACCTTCATCAACAGCACTTTCACCGATCTCACCCCATCCGATACCATCACCCGCAGCCATCTCCGCGACGTAACCATCACCTGCTCCAACAGTGCCAAAACCCCCACCAGCCTTCTCCGCTCCGCCCTAACATCCTGCATCGTCAAGCACTCATCCACTTACCGCTCCAAGCTAAACCACACCACCCTCACTAACGCCATTGTCTCCCGCACTGAAGCCACGCACACCTCTTTCGACATCTACACCTACTCGCACCGGAGCACCCTCTCCAATGTGATTCTCCGCGATCGCGCCTCTGTCAAGCGCAGCAAGGTGAAAGATGCTAGTTTGTTGGGCGGGAGTTCTCTCTGGCGGAGTAATGTGTCCAAGTGCATGATTGCGGATGGGTGTCGGGTGCAGCGGTGCAAATTGGTGGATTGTGAGGTGATGTGTTGTGTGCTGGTGAAGACGGATCTGGAGGGGATGGTGGTTAGGAATGGGGTTTGGAAGGATGGGGTGTTGGTGGGGAGGGTTAGGGAGGGGGAGGAGGTGGTGGTGTTGAAGAAGGGGGGTCAGGGGGTAAGTTTCTTTCTGTCTATTCTTGTTGATGTATTCTGATTTGGAGGGTTTGGCTGATTGTTGGTGTGCAGAAGATGCAGATTCCTGTTAATGAGAAGAAGTTGGATAGTAAGGATGTGAAGTATTGGTTGGAGGAAGAGAGCTCGGACGAAGAGGGGGCGAGGGAGATGTCGCCGCCGCCGGCGTATACGGCGTAGAGGTTGACGTTGGAAGCCCATATTGTGGTAATTAGTTGTATATAGCATTGTCCCATGGGTTCTACTGGTAAATTTTACGCTCTTTGAAGTCTTGCTGGCATACTATTGCAACGGAGTGCTACACCGGTTGGTGTACAACGATCGCTCCAGGCAGTTGGCGAAAAAACACCATTCCCCAGGTGGGTCTAGGATCTATGGATGATGTTGCCATAGTCAGGCATTGTCAAGCAAACAGTCATAGCTAATCAGGTTAAAAGAATTGATACGTTGTGGAAAGTAGTGACTTTCGCTTAAAACCCTGCAGGATTGAAATGCTCCGCTATACGGGTCTCGGTTCACTGTCAAATGCGCTTGACATGGTAGGTGCGTCAGGTCTTGACCTAAATACCACTAAATACCAAATGAAGGGAAAAAGATGTACCAATCACTCTAGGCCGGAAATATCGGGAGTGATTCCGGTATCTTAGGTTGAGACAGTTCGAAATGTATCCGATCTAAGTGTGAAACAAAATTGAGAGCGAAGGAGCTTCTTTGGTGAAATTGGCGACAGTGGATCCAGTCGTGCATAGTGCGCAAGCCATAATCTCCGGGACATTGAGCGATTTAGATCTGCTCCGTGATCCGAAACGTTACTTTTGGCTTACTTGGACCCTCGTCATGCTGATTCGTCAAGGTGCATATCGCAGTCAGCCCTTCGAAAAGCCGTCCGGATACCAGATTTGTCCCAGGTCTTCATGAGTGGTCAGGATACCCAATGGGCACTCTGTAGGCATCCCAAACAGACCCTAAATCACACTTCATTTCGCAAAATGAATCCTTGTCTAGCCGGTCGGCTGCTCGCCAAAATAGAATATAGTTGCATGGCTAGCGCACTGACGGTCGCCCATGGCGTACTAGCCGCCGCATTAGTCTTTGGGCTTAGTGCCAAAAATTTCTTTCTTCCGAGTCATGATGTTGCACACACAACAAAGACGCTGCTGTATTTGCCGTGTTGTGTAGGTCATCAGAGAATGAACTGGCGCAGCAAGTTGATACGAGACAGTAGAAAAAGAAAGTCATATCCTAGCAAAATCAGGGCGATCACTTTAAGGAGTCACGGGAGATCGTAGCGGCGTACCGATTATGTATAGCAGCAGTTCAGGAGAGGGTGGAGAAACGACTGTGGAGTGGGTACCACGTACCTTTGTGCCTCGATGATGTCGGCAGCTGCAAGCACCAAGTTTGGGTAGTGCATGTGGCAGACAGACAGGTTTAGAATCTGCCAGCAGGATGTATTTTGCATTTTGCAGGCACTACGTATCGAGTTAATGCATTCAACGATGATGAAAACATCTCTATTGAGTAGAAACCATCGAGAGATAGATGGACAAGAGATGAGAATTGTAGGCAGTAGGCAGGGAGTAGTGGAGACGGAATGATGATAAGGCTGGCCGCTAAACCCCGCCGAGGCCGGATGGGCGCCTGAGGCCGGAGCAGCAACTAAGCAACTAACGCCACTTTCGTTCCGGTCGGCCTTCCGCCGGGACTCTGCCATTTCTCTCCACTTTGTCGCTCCAAGGAAATCCGCGTCACTCTTTCTTTCTCCCTCATTTCCTCCATGACTTATTTATCGCTTGGTCTTCTTTCCTATCCTCTTCTCTCTCCCTCCTCCTCTTCTCCCGCTTAGTCGCGCTCCCTCCTAGGTCATCCTTGGTGTACTGTTCGGCGGACTTTGGCATATGAACGACTACAACCACGCTTAGATTGGAAGTCTGCCGTCATCCGTCCCTTTTCTCCTTCATTTTCGCGCCACTGAGCGCAAGGCCTCAACCATCATGGGTCTCTCCAAGACAAACAGGATCTTGATCCTGTTGGCGATTGATACGGCTTTCTTCTTGTTGGAATTGATTGCTGGTTCGTGTCCATACCATTATATGCTCCCAGGCGTCTCTTAACGATAATTCTTCGCGCAGGTTATTCCGTGCACTCCCTTGCCCTGGTTGCCGACTCGTTTCACATGGTACGCCTTTATCTCGTCGTCTTACCGAAATACCCTATGGATAGCATGATTCTGACCAGTATTGGCACAGCTGAATGATGTACTGTCACTATGTGTGGGCCTCTGGGCTGTCAAGGTCGCCAACCGCGAAACCAACTCAAAAATGTACACCTACGGGGTAAGCTTGTCTCGATCCTACAGGTCCACCTCTCATCCTGACGGTTGGTTCTTTAGTGGCAACGCGCAGAAACTCTGGGTGCTCTAGTTAATGGTGTCTTCCTGGTCGCCCTGTGTCTATCGATTTTCCTGGAAGCTATACAACGACTAGTCGAGCCTCAGGAAGTGAAGAACCCGAAATTCGTTTGCATCGTTGGATGCCTCGGCTTGCTGTCGAACATAATTGGTCTTGTTCTATTCCATGACCACTCCCATGGGCACGGCCACAGTCATGGCCCTGGAGATCTGGAAGAAGGCGCTGATGACCATATACATGCTGCGGGCCATGACCACGATCATGACCACGTGCACGCAGATGGCCAGAACAACGTTAGTGGACTCATCTCTACTAGGTTTATGTAGCTGACACAAGTGGACTAAGCAGACTGGTGGTGCCGAGCCACCCTCTCCCTATTCGCGTCGCCGCCGGACAGTCGACAGTCGCTACAGTGGATATGTTGACGTGGAAGACATCCGGATTCACCCCGCTAGTATGAGACAGGAGATTATCGCAGCCAGTAAGAACCGTTATGATGATGAACAGTCCGGCTCGGACAGCGATCTTCAAGAGGGCGTCGACGGCCAGCCATCTGAGCGCTCAGCCCTCCTTAGTCACGGCGGTCGCAATGGTAAATATACCGATGAGACGGAGTCACTTGCTCGGTCCCGGACTGCTGCTGCCGATGATGATCTCCACAAATTCCACAATCATGCTCAACCAAAGCCCAAAGACGAAAAGCATGGCCATGGTCATGGCCATGACCTCAACATGCGGGGCGTCTTTCTTCATGTGATGGGCGATGCACTGGGTAACATCGGTGTCATCGCTTCTGCGCTCATCATCTGGCTGACCGATTATTCTTGGCGATTCTACGTGGATCCTGGGATTTCGCTTGTTATCACTGTGATTATTCTGCTTTCCGCCATTCCCCTATGCAAGGCTGCATCGCGTATTCTCTTGCAGGCAGCGCCCCACGGCCTCAGCATCGACCATATCAAGGAGGACATCGAAGGACTTCCGGGCGTCATCGGCTCCCACCACCTGCACGTATGGCAGCTGAGCGACACCAAGCTAGTCGCCTCTATTCACATCCAGGTGGACACGGAGATCAAGGGTGAAGGCTCAGAGCGCTATATGCGTCTGGCCAGGCAAGTGAGGAAGTGCTTGCACGCTTATGGGATCCATTCTTCGACGATCCAGCCTGAATTTGCGCCCGATAGTGACGCTGAGGATACGATCATGGCTTCCTCGGACTACCGTGGCGGTAGCAACGGAGCCTCCGTCTCGGGGACTCTTCCCAGTCGAACACCCAGTGTACCTGACGGTGACTCGCAGGCGTGCCTCCTGGAATGTGGCGAGGAGTGTGCCCGAGGTGGCCAGTGTTGCCCCAACCCCAAGCAATCACCGTGAGGTGATCCGATAAAAATTTTCCCTGTCCTATGATCTCTTTTTCTTACACCTTCCTTACAACCTCACCATATTAATTTTCCTTTCTGTTCAACATACCCCATTATTTGTATGACTGGAACCTATGTGTTTGGACTGGCCGTTGTTGACATTGCATCTCAGGTCAACTTGGTGCATGTTGGGTGGACTTCCTAGATGGCTGCATGTTATGAGACTTGTCAATGACAAGCGTAATTGCATTCTTTACACTTTTCTTATTCTTCTCTTGTATTCTTAGCAATGACATTGCACATCTGAATCCATCATCTTCGCTTCCAAGTAGTAGTTCCCCTGAATTATGGACCTGAGTGGAGTGTGGTGGCGGAGTTTTGGCTGCCAAGTGTTTCTCAGACCCTGAAGATTGAGGCCTGGGGCCAAATCGGGGACAAATGTCTCAAAAGCGTCGCGCCCAGCCGCAGCACACGTGACGTGTCTCCATCCGTCAATCGGCGGCGATCCCCCTTGGACCATCCATTCCCACATCGTCATGCACTGACTCTCATTCCTTCATTCTTATATCTAATCTCTAGCTGACCAGTCGCTCGTTTATTGTGTTTCTTACAATTGTTGATGCTCCCTAAAGCATGACCTCCGGTTCGGTCAACTGCTAGCTGCCCACCTCTCGTGTGTCAGCCTCGGTACCGCAATGCAGCAGAGCTGCGCTCGACCATCCATAGGTTGAAACAACGAAGATGAGCTATTCATACTCGCACAACGCCATTTCCGACTCTTATCGTCCTGCTCGACCAGGATCTCCCTCGTGGTCCTCGGGTTCGTCGGAGCGGGATCAATCACCGCCGCCATGGCCGAAACGGTGGGCTTCGGATATACGTGAGGTGACAAGTACTAGGCATGGGATATTGTCGTTATTCAAGCGGGTCGCTAGATATGTCTTCACCATCTCGAACGCTTTGGTTGCTTTATGGATCTGTACATTATGGTGGGGCGAACGGACTGTCTTTCAGGACAGCGTGAAAGCATGCAACTGGGGAAATTGGGAGAGATGGGTAGGTGGTCGACGTTGGAATCTGTCCCTTTCTTTCTTCCGCTAACTCATCATGTTTGCTCGATACAGCCCCAAGACGCAATTCCACATCATGTCGCCTTCATCGCCGATCCACAATTAGTCGATCCTCATACCTATCCCGGCCGGCCATGGCCTCTGTCGACGTTGACCGTCAAATTCACCGATCAATACCTTCGGAGATCCTTCTCGTCCATTCAGAACGAATTGGGTCCAGATTCCGTGTTGTTTCTGGGTGACCTTTTTGACGGGGGCAGGGAATGGGCTACGGCATCCAGTTCCAGCCCGGAGAAACGCTACAAGAAATACAAGGATCGATTTTGGAAGAAAGAGTTCCATCGGTTCGTGAAAATATTCGTGGATACATGGAAAAACGGTGATGATCACATACGTCATCCGCTTGGACGGAGGCTGATCACTAGCTTGCCTGGAAATCACGATCTGGGTTTTGGCTCGGGTGTCCAGATCCCTGTGCGCGATAGGTTTCAGAGCTTCTTTGGCAAAAGCAATCGCGTTGATGTCATTGGGAATCATACTTTTATCTCTGTTGACACCGTGTCGCTGAGCGCCATGGACCAGCCGGACCCGGAGACAGGCAGCTCGGGCACGGGCTCAGGCGATGGAGAACAGCCAAACGAACACATTTGGAGAGATACCCAGGATTTCCTCGATCGCATGAACGTACATCGGGGCAGGGCGGAAGTTGAGGCATTGCGCATGCTCGCCAATAAGACTGAGGGCCGTCAGTTTCAGCATCGGGCTGTTGATATCTTGGAACCGTCCGTCGACCCGCAGCTCAAACCGGAGGTTGCGGGGTTTCCCACGATCCTTCTTTCTCACGTACCTTTATATCGCCGACCGGCCACGCCGTGCGGGCCCTATCGCGAACACTATCCGCCCAGTCGCGAGGGTTTGGAGGAGGATGACCGGAATGCTATTCCAATGGGTCGGGGTTATCAATATCAAAATGTTTTGACCCCGGCCATTTCTCGGGATATCGTCTCAAAGGTCGGGCCTAATTTGGTCCAGATGTATTCCGGGGATGACCACGATTACTGCGAGATCTCTCACCACGAGTTTAGCGGTTCTCCCAAGGAGATTACGGTGAAGAGCCTTTCATGGGCCATGGGAATTCGGCAACCGGGCTTTGTACTCACCAGCTTGTGGAATCCTCTTGATCTGGCCACTGGTGAATCGGATGGGACCGTTAATGCCGGTCGCACGGTTCAGAACCACCTGTGTCTGCTCCCGGACCAATTATCCGTCTTCATCTATTACGGGATAATTCTTGGTTTCACCCTGTGCGTCCTCCTTGTGCGCGCTGCGATCGTTGTAAAATATCTCCCATCCGGGACGAGCCCCGACGAGCCCATTCTACCCTTGTCAGAACATCGCTCCCCGCCCCCGCAGCGCGCGGCCCGCTACAAGACCCCATCTTCTGGTACGTCTAGCTCCACGTTCCCGTCGCCTCGCGGGCTGGCCAGCCGTGCGGTGAACGCACCTCCCATACACGCTGCTTACGCGGGCTCAGATGAGGACAAAGTGGGCAGCGCCAAGTGGAAGCCATCGCGTGGCGGGCCACGACGGCCGGGGGCTAGCGCTTCCCAGGTGACCCTGGTGAAGGAGGAATTCCTTACATCGGTCATGGGAGTGGCCAGAATTGCGTTATGCTGGTACTTCTTTCTTGTCTGGCGATGGTAAGCGACTGTGGTTTTTTTCGGGTTTCGCTGCTTGGGTAAATATTGTCTGTACATAGATCTCTGGCCCTTCCATATTGTAACTTTGGGCAGGCGTGCATGGTTGAATGGCGTCTTCTGGTGGTGGGGAACAAAAAAACAACTATATCATAGGTACTAGGTATATGTATAATGGTACTGGGGTGGCTGGTTTTGTTTCTTAACCAGCCCTGTCAGCAACATTGGCGACTTGTTTGTAGAACAGTCCGCTGTTACTACGACTAGTATATATGTTACGCGCACTATGATGGAGAGTACTAGTGGTAGTAGTATATATTTTTCAATAGGGTCACCCACTATACTTATCGATTATAGTGCTGGTACTCGATTGTGGGTAAGGATCAGTCCAAGTGAGAGAAACGCACGTCTACATGACTTTTTGACTCTACTGTTCAAACGATGGATGCACATTAAGGATCAGCAAAGGCGAGTAGAGCGTGGTCTAATACTCACAGACACCGAGACATTGTTTCCACACGGCAGCTCTTTGCTGGTTTGTATAATCAATGGTGGGATAATATTTTCCATCACATCCGATATGGTGTAACGGCTAACATCGCCGCCTTTCAAACCGAAAGACTTGACCGCGGCAGCTCGGGGTTCGATTCCCCGTATCGGAGATGTCCATTTCTTTTTTAAACATTTTTATTTTGCTACACTATTTCTTCTCTTGTCACTTTTTGCACCATGATGTATTTTTTTATCCAATCAATCAAACAAAAGAGAATATCATGGGCTGGCTATCTGCAAGCCATACGAAAAGAAGATGTCCATGGATGATAGACAGCATCCACGGTCGATCCCTTCCCGGCCAGGCCAGGTGACCAACTCTAACCCGAATAGACTTTGGGAACCAGACCCTCAGCGTCGCACCCTCAGCAATCAACCCATTTCTCGCTTGCGCAATTCCACTAAGTACTAAGACCAGGTGCGGGCATATCTCGGGGATTCATCCCTACAGGGCCAATCACACGAGCATTAACACACTAAATTAAGCATCCTGGTGGCGGCTTGCTCAAACCAAATTGCCCTCACAACCCATGCAATTGGGATGGAAAGGAAACGCCCAGGCTCTAATCTGTTGACTGCCCAAGCCTAAAGCGGCTCCGGTGAGAAGAAAGTGTGAACCTGAATTCAATTGTTGACTGGGGAGAAAGCAAATCCATGGTTGCCACCCACGGGCAAAGCGTGGCTGAGCCCGTTGAATGGCCGGAGCTCGACTGGAATTTTCGGTTCGGGTCCCCAGGAACCCCGGACTCACCAGGACAACACAGGGACGGGCAGCCCTCAGGGTCTGCTCATCAAAATCCGTGTGTCAAGGAACCGTGTATATTTCCTATTGTGCGCTAGGTGATTAAGATCCCCAGCCGGAAATAGAGACGGGCAAAACAAGTGGGAGATCTGGCCCGCCGGCCACGCGAGTCTGGCTGGCCGTTCCCGGCCTCTTTTCCACATCTTTCTGTCTGCACCAGCCGCGTCTGGCCTCATCTCCGCGCCTCTTTCTAGATCTCTCTAGATCCAAACCACCCGCTTCCAATTACACTGGCTGCAATGGCTCGCGTGCGATATCCCGATTCTCTACTGACCGACCATGATCGTGGCTGAGACCGGTCTGGGGACCCGTGGATGATCGGGATGATCTCGGCCAAATGCCTCAATTTGACTTTTGTCCGCGCCGTCATAGTCAATCCTCGGCACCCCCATGCTCTCGCTCTCTCAGCCAGTCTCTTGAATCTATAGCTTCATGTTGGCTTGGCTTGTCTCGGACTCGGCCATTGAGTGGTTTCCTCGTGTTTCTCCCCCACTCATGGCGCGTCGGCCCAACGTTCTTCTCCAGACTCGGCACACACACTCGCAATGAGACTGCGGAGTCTGGGGCCCCGTTCTCTCTCACCTAGCCCGATTCCGTGGTCAGTGGCGTGCAGAGACTGACTGATTCCGGCCGGTCTGGTTGTCGGTCTGCCGGATCTGGGGACGAATCTGCCTGCTCGCTGCCATCCCCGCGTCCCGCTCCAAATACTACATAAAGGCCTCCATGGCCCGGGTCTGGGGTAATGGATCTCTCATCATCTTACCTTCTCCGGCTCAATTGACTCTTACACACTGCTCACTGCTCACTGCTACATCGCTCACCTAATCTTCGCCTGACCCCACATCTCCTACCTTCAGTCGATTGCTCTGCCTTTGGTCTCCCAAATCTTACTATGGGTTTCTTGTTGAAGAGACCGGATGATGCGGTGGGCTCAGCGGCCCCCGCCATCATGATCGGTCTATTTGTCTCCTTTGGAGGTATCCTCTTCGGGTATGTACTCCCATTACTCAGTAATGACACGTGGGATGTGTCTCTGACCTGGATCTGAATAGATATGACACTGGAACCATCAGTGGTATCCTGGCCATGAAGTTCTGGCGGAAGATGTTCTCTACCGGATACATCAACCCCTCTGATGACTACCCCGATGTAACCTCATCTCAGTCTTCCATGATTGTGTCATTGCTGTCTGCCGGTACTTTCTTTGGTGCCCTGGCCTCTGCCCCCGTTGCGGATTACTTTGGTCGCCGCATTGCCATGATCATCGAATCATTTGTCTTCTGCTTCGGTGTGATCCTCCAGACCGCAGCCACCTCGATTCCGCTGTTCGTCGCTGGACGGTTCTTTGCTGGCTTTGGTGTTGGTCTACTCTCTGCAACTAGTAAGTCGCCAAGCCCCTATATTACCTACACAGGTGCTAACTGGAATACAGTCCCTCTTTACCAGTCTGAGACGGCTCCGAAGTGGATTCGTGGTACCATTGTCGGCGCCTATCAGCTGGCCATCACCATTGGTCTGCTGCTTGCTTCTGTCGTCAACAACGCTACCAAGGACCGCATGGATACTGGTAGCTACCGCATTCCGGTTGCCGTCCAGTTCGCATGGGCCATCATCCTCGTTGTCGGAATGAGTGTGCTTCCCGAAACGCCACGCTTCCTAATCAAGAAGGATAGACATGAGGCCGCGGCCAAGGCGCTTGCTCGTCTTCGTCGTATGAATGTTGACGACCAGGCCGTCGTGGATGAATTGATGGAGATCCGCGCCTCGCACGAATACGAGATGAGCGTGGGCAAGGCAAGCTTCCGCGATATTCTGACTGGCTCCCTGGGTAAGCGGTTGGCCACTGGATGTGCTGTGCAGGCGCTGCAACAACTTGCTGGAGTCAATTTTATCTGTAAGTGCGCTTCTTTCTGATACGTCAAGGTTCTCAGACTAATCGCTTTCAGTTTACTACGGAACGACCTTTTTCCAGCGCTCGGGCATTCAGAACAGTTTTACCATCACACTCATCACCAACATTGTCAACGTGGTCTCCACGTTCCCGGGCCTGTACATGGTTGAGAAATGGGGTCGCCGGCCCTTGCTGCTGTTCGGTGCGGTTGGCATGTGCGTGTGCCAGCTGATCGTGGCTATTGTGGGCATGGTGGCTTCCTCGGACGTGGCCAATAAGGTCCTGATCGCCTTTGTCTGCATCTACATCTTCTTCTTTGCCAGCTCTTGGGGTCCCGTCGCGTGGGTTGTGACAGGTGAATTGTACCCACTCAAGGCTCGTGCCAAGTGTCTCTCCATCACGACGGCCACCAACTGGCTGCTGAACTGGGCCATCGCCTATGCCACCCCCTACATGGTGGATTCCGGCCCGGGCAACGCGAATCTGCAGTCCAAGGTGTTCTTTATCTGGGGTGGCTTCTGCTTCATTGCGGGAGTGTTTGTGTACACCTGCATCTACGAGACCAAGGGCCTCAGTCTGGAGCAGGTGGACGAGCTCTACTCGAAGGTGTCGGCAGCCTGGCGCTCTCCGGGATTCATCCCTTCGGCACACTTCGCCGGTGCGGATACCGACAAGGCCGGGCCCAGTGTGTACGAAGTGGAGGGTGAACTCCCCCAGAAGCGCGAGTCTCAGCATATTGAGACGGCTTAATATGGATTCTTATATGGCTTAGGATACGACTTTTTTTTTTTTTTTTTTTTTTTAATATTTGGATATGGCTGGATATGGGTTTTCTTCCTTTCTGTTTATATAGTTAGCCTATGATGTGATATATTTAGCGCACGATATGATATATATGACTATGATTGAATTACCGATCTCTTCTTATCTCTTCTTCCTGCATGTCATTTGCACGTCACTTGTGACCCTGGGGTGCCTGAGTGCCTGAGAGGATGACCCCCCTGTGACGCCTCAGGCAACGATCACCCGTCGCTGATTGGGCGCCACCCCCCACCGGGTGACGTGCACGGACCCACTACACGTGATTATGGCCTGAAATCTGGGGCCAATCTTTCATCATTGGGGAAGGCTGCGATTCCAGATCGTCTCTGCTTCGCCTCGATCTTCATCCCCTATTTCTCCCTCCCGACTCCCTCTTCCTCCCCCCTTCCTCGTTAACTGAAAATGAGGCCCTTTTCCTTCCCTGCTTTTGGATCAGCCACTGTACCCTGATCCCCCCATGTTCATCTCTGAAGCCGACCCCGACGAGGGGCTGTCCACCAGTGTTGCCCGGGGCGCTGAATCGCGCGTTTCTGACAAGGCCCCTTACTTCGATACCACCGTTGAAGTCGGTTCGACTGAGCAGCATCCAGCGCCCGACGCAGGGCTGAAAACACCCTTACAGACAGGGTATGAGTTGCAGGATTTGGGCCCCGTTTGTGATGAGGATTCGGAAAATGCCTCAGCGGTCACTGAACGACTACTTGGAGAGGAAGGACCATTTCCATGGAAGAATCAACTTGGCAGCTCGATTGCAAATAATGTTACACACCCATTGTTCCCACCGTTACCGTCCTACGGACCGCCTTCCCTGATTACCTCGGTTCAGCATCTGATCATCCGCTGCGTATCCTTCGTTTTATCACTCGTCTTCCTCGGAACAGTCATCCTGGGCGCTATTATTCAGACCGCTAGTGCATCTGTCTTGCAGATTCGTCGGAAGATAGGTGGACCGTCTCCCCACACTACGAGATTATTTCACGAAGAGGAGCGGTCACGGCAGGTAGAGCGAAACAAGGCTTCGCGGAGGTGGAGTTACCGACGAGAGAAGGAGGTGGATGAGGAGGCGCTGGATGAATGTCCGCCCTTGGAAGGGGGTAAGGATCCGGTTGTATGCGATGTAGCATACTACGCTAGACGGGTAGGGCTAGATGTGGAGACCTTTAAGGTGCAAACCGAGGATGGGTTCATCCTCACCTTGTGGCATGTCTACAACCCGCAGGAACACACCCCCTTGCCTCCTAAGGCCCGGCGCCCGCGAGGCCCACACGTCTTCACTGGCCAGACCAACCCCGAGGCCTCTCGCCGAGCCCCGGCCAAATACCCTGTGCTCCTGATGCACGGGCTGCTGCAAAGCGCCGGGGCATTCTGTGCCAACGATGACGACAGCCTTGCGTTCTTTTTGTGCAAGTCAGGCTACGATGTCTGGCTCGGAAATAATCGGTGCGGCATGGTTCCGGAACACACGACGTTGTTTCAGTCGGATCCACGGATGTGGGCTTGGAACATCCAGCAGATGGGGGTGCTGGACCTGCCGGCACTGGTTTCCCGGGTGCTCTTCGAGACAGGCTTTGAGAAGCTCGGACTCGTTGGCCACTCGCAGGGCACCGCAGAGACATTTATCGCACTGGCCAAGGATCAGCGACCGGAGCTGGGGGAGCGGATTTCAGTCTTCTGCGCCCTCGCGCCGGCCGTGTACGCAGGCCCCTTGGTGGAACGAGTTTTCTTTCGCTTCATGCGGATTATCCCCCCTCTCGTCTTCCGGGCCTTCTTTGGCATTCATGCGTTCATTCCTTTCATGATGACGGTACATCGCCGGCTACATCCGCGCATCTATGGCACGCTGGGATACTATGTGTTTTCCTTCCTGTTTGGGTGGAGCGATGGGCGCTGGGACCGCGGCCTCCGCGATCGCATGTTTCAGTTTGCACCCGTGTACGTGAGCGCGGAGATGATGCGGTGGTGGCTGGGGGGCGAGTGCTTTGCCCACCAGAAGTGCATCCTCGCGACGAGTGAGGTCACGCAGGCCGAGGCGGCGGAGGATCAGCGGGTGGCGCGGGGCCATGGCGAGGTCCTCCGTAGCGACACCGCGTGGTATGGCCCCCAGATGCCTCCTGTTGCTCTGTGGATCGCAGGCTCGGATGGTCTCGTGGACGGGCGCCGGTTACTGCACCGTCTCGAAAATGGGCGAGAGCCGCACGTCCGGCTGGCGCACGCCAAGGTGATCGAGGAGTACGAGCACCTGGATGTACTTTGGGCGATGGATGCAATCGACCAGGTGGGCCAGGAAGTGCGGCAAGTGCTTTGGGAGACGATGCCGCAAGAGGCACGGACGCGATGCCGAATGCCACGGGGCGTGTGGACTGCACGATGAAATGCGAAACATATTGATGACTCGATGACATACAACTGGGACTTGGGGTAAACTAGCATAGACGGATAATTCGGCTGGGCGCATGTACATACATAGCATATAGACTAGACATGTAGATTATCGAGGAGCCTGATTATTAGTATTATTATTATTATCATCATTTATTACTTATACAATCTCTGTTTCAAATCCTCAATGGCTCCAACCCGACGCAGATGATACCATCACCTGTCTGCTGACTTGTCGCTTATATCCAGTACACAGACACATTCCATCCCCCAGTAGGGATAGTAGGATGAAATACTTGTGTTAATCCATCCCAATCATCGTTAGTATCTCCGACTAACACCGACCTCACCAATCCGCACTCTTGCTTGGCTCCGAGCAGGGGCCCCCAGTCAACCCTCATCTCCAACGGCTGGACTAGTTCTAGTACTAGTATCGAGTTAGTGGCTGCTTAGCCTTTTCCCCCACCATATTAATCAAGCCGCGTATTCTACTCCACCATCCATCCGGATATCCATCCACCTGGTCCTCATGCCCCCTCCCAGTCTCCCACCACCCCCCAGCTAGTCCAGAAAATGACAGTTTGCTTAGCCCTCCCCACTGATTCAGATCATTGGCTCCGAGTATCCGAACTCGCAGTAGTTACTACTTACTAGTACTACTAAGCAGCCACTTACTGGCGGCTGGGTGGCCTAAGGCCTGCGGGGTGCGCATGCATCTTAGTTTAGTAGTTACATGTATACATATTAGCTAGTTAGGTGGGTAAGTAGTAACTAGTATGTATCGGCTATCGTCCTCAAGGTACCTTGTTCTTCTCCTCGCGTATACACGTTGCCAACAACGCAGGTACTACTACCACACCCAGGAAAACAAGTACGCAATGGATGGAAAAGTATACTCCCGGCAGGCTCTGACACATTCACTCATATCCCTGACTTTGCAGGCATCGTGGATAGCGAGCTACGTCATAATCCCCCCTCCCTCCCTCTTTTGTGGGAGTTGAGCCCCAACTAAGTTCCGAAGATCAAGCACAAATGTGGCACTACTAGTTCCAGGAGCAGAAGAAATAAAATAACTCATAGTTAGGGTGGGTTAGTCGGGTTGGGTTGACTTTTGGGGTGTGTATGGCCGGTTCGGTCTCACTATAGCCTATAGCCTAGCCGGGCTGGTGAGTCATGCGCTCCTTGAAGGGATCTATGCTACTACTACTACTACTACTTCTTGCCTAAGGGGAGGTATAATGTATATTGTAGGCATTGGTGGTTTTGTTGTGAGAGCTGGTGGCGGTCGCTTATAGTAGTAGTATACAGAGGGTTTTTTGATACGACTTTATCAACCCCCAATTCTCCTCGCTGGATACCGCCGTTCAGGCAGCCGGGTTATCCGACTGTGGGCTTGGTGCCTCTTGGGGGTTGCGAACGGGTCCGAGGAGTCGGGGAGGGGGTAGTTTTCGAGAATTGGGGTTTTTATGAGGGCTCATTGTTAGGGAAGAGTTCTAGACTCAGGAATTGAGTGGAAAACGGGACGGTAGCGTTGTGGAATGGGGGCATCGTTGAGGACGGCAGAGCGAGGACGGAACGATTGTTACACGATATCGGGGATTAATAGTGGGAGAAATGATCTGAAGAATTTTCTTGAATCAAGGCGAAAAACCTAGAATTGCTTTTTCTCTTTTTTGTTTTTGCAAGGCGTTGACGTTGAAGTAAGGGCGGGATGGAATAACTAGTATAGTAGTAATAGTGGTGGTGGTTGGAAGTAGAACTGAACAATAAGAGGATGTCATGGTGATATGTAAACCTGAGGATTCCAATTAGGGCTGTGAAGTTCAGTTGTTCCGTACTATATATAGAATTGGAAGAAGAGGTGAAGTTGGGCCGGAAAAACGGTTGAATTTGACTTCATGTTTGCTTTTTTGTGTTACTATTCTTTGCACAAAACTCTCGTATGAACATACTTTGCACTGACAGCATGTCTGCCGCGTCCGAGCGAATAACTCCCTTCAACGCAAGGTGTGCTGCCTGGAGAGGAGGCATAGGCATGTACACCGACTCTTGTCGGCATCGCATCGATCGCGTATCAATCAGATAGTAGTAGTACCCAGAAATCACTCAGCTACATTCCTAGTCAACTACCACCACCACTACCACTAACATGACTCTCTCTCACACACACCCCTGGAATTCATGCAGCAACTGACTTGTATAGTGCGGGGCACATATGAGGGAAATATATGAAATGAAACTAGACCTGAGATTAATTAATTGATTTACTTGATTGAGGTTGACGATCCGGGGGGTCCCCAAGCGAAAAACATCACCACCACACCCTAAGATGGAATAATCCCAGCAATCGGAAATCCCAGCATAGCCCAAAATCAAATCAACCAAGATGGTGCAGGCCGCTCACCCAAAACAAGGAATCCCAGACGCCATCGACGTGTCCTTCCATGCAGCACGGATGCACTTTGACAATCAAGCATTGGATCAAGAAATTCTCCGCACGCGGGGCACCGCCACTGCCATCCATTCCCAGCATCATCTTCATTAAGGCTGTGCGTCGGTGAACTAAGCGATCAAGCAAAAAAACTTTGATTCTATGGAATCATCCTCCATACGAGACCCGAGTATCGGTTCTGCCTATCCATCATGATTAAAAAAAGAACCGTATACCCACTTCTTCGGCAGTTGACTGCTGTTACCAAAGTCAATATCTGCCCGGGGATTTAAGAAAAAAGAAATCAAAATAAAACACAAAACAAAAACAAAACAAAACCCAGCACTCGCAGAAATCTGCAACTGCAAGATGCAAAAAGGCAGCCAACCACAAACTAAACCCCCATCGAGTGTCCCATCCCTAGCAAGGTACCTTCCCCTACGGCGGAGCCACTCTCAACGCTAGTCTGGCCTTCATTTCCAGCCCGTCCGGCCCGTTCATCAATATTGGACTGAAACGAACAACTGCACCACCACCATCACCGGATATACCCTCGTCCAGGTTGCTGCTGCCTTCGCTCTTCTTCTTCGATTGCTTTTTGCGCTGTTCCAATTAACCCAGCCCCGCATGCAATCGCCGTTTCCCGTGCCACCTTTTTGGGCGGTGCGTGCCAGCTGGCTTCTCCTTTGGCTTCTCACCAACCCTATGGGGCTTTCCTCATGACCCGTGTAGCAGCCCCATTTCTCTTTGCTGACTCGTCTTCTCCAATTCTAGTGAGCCTGATACTGGATTGACTTTATCCAGATCCGCTCGGTGCATGAGGGGAAAAAGCTAAAGCTTGCCGTCATGGCTCGGCTATGCGTGAGGGGGCGTGGACAAAACACTACATCTGACTATCCACAATCCGCGGAGTGGAGCGTGGGCTGGTTCCCTCGGCGTGCTTGCTTGCTTGCTTTGACTGCTGTCTGATGTCTGCTGTCCGTCTGTCTGCGCGCGGATGGGCATCGATCGATCAGGGCGAAAAGCCCGCTTCCGTGGCCGGCCGTGTAGCCCGTGGCCTCTTTGGGTCTGTTGGCCGAGACCAAAAAAGTTATAAAGACCAGGTCCGGAGCCGGATTCTTGTTTCACAATCAGACCTCAATTCATCAAGCAAGGATACCTTCCAAAGCAAGCAACTCAGCCAGCCAACAAGCAAGACAAAGCGAAGCCGCAATCACCATTCAGCAAAGACACCTTCCTATTCATTTTGAGTTCATTCCATTATGAAACCATCTACTCTTTACTCTTCTCTACCTTGGGTCATCACGTCCCTCCTCACGGTAGCTGTTCATGGCGCTCCTACAGGGACGAAGTCGAACCCTCCCCTACGAGGCTCCGAGAACTTGCTGGGTTACTCGGCCTCCAACACCGTGACGGACCAGTCCACCGACGAGATCCCTTATGTGCCGGTGCCAGGACAGACCGATGCCGCTGACCTCGGCGTGTACCTGGACTTCGAAGATATCGAGAACCCGCAACCGGTCCGCGGAAGCACGGGAGGAACTGACCCTGGACCTCGTATGTAGTGTCGATCCATGGAACCAGACCAGGCGCTTGGTTGATCTGCAAATGATCTCATCTCACCGGACAAATAGGCAACGACTACTACGATCGGATTAATAGCGATAAGCTGGCTCCTCCGGGTACGGACAATGGCCAGACGATCAATGCCCAATGGCCTATGGGTGAGTTTATCTGCCTTGCCTTTTTCTTTTCTTTTCTTTTTGTCGTTTAGCCCCTTTATTTGCTTTTTCGGTGGAAAAACTTTAATGAGACAGAACAATGGCTAACAATTGGGGATAGGACTAAGCCATAATCGGTAAGCTGATCTGCCCTTGCTGCAATGCATGTTGTACTTTATACTAATTGGAGGGAAGGCTGGGATTGAACGAGTCTGGATGGGCTCGGCAAGAGAACGAGGTGGTGATGCCGGGCGCAACCGAGATGGCTGGAGTGGATATGCGCCTAGAAGCAGGTGCTTATCGGGAGCTGCATTGGCATGTGGCATCGGAATGGTCGTTGGTGTTGAACGGATCGTGTCGGATCGAGGTATGCAGAGACAGAATCGTGATAAACCAGTTTGTTTGCCAAAGCTAATTCTTATCATTCAGGCCGTCAACGAGAACGGACAAACTTTCGTCGATGACGTGAGCGCTGGTGATGTCTGGTTCTTCCCTCCGTAAGTTTTTCGCCCCAATTCCAAATCATTGTCCCCTTTCATAGGGGTGCATTAATGGGGATGGTCGGTTGACTCACTCCTTACAGCGGTGTTCCGCATTCCATCCAAGCCCTAGACTCGGGCGTCGAGTTTCTCCTCATCTTTGATGACGGTTCCTTCTCTGAGGATAATACTTTCCTCGCCACTGAAGTGTTTGCCCATCAACCGGTACCCCTCACTTGATTTATACAGTTTTATGTATGAGCTTGACCTAACGATGACTATAGCGCGAAGTCCTCGCCAAAAACTTCGACCTCCCCGTTGCCGCTTTCGACGACATTCCCGAAGATGAACTTTATATCTTCCCCGGCACTCCGGCACCGCAGAACATCGAGGAACAAAATGTAACTGGCTCTGCAGGCGTCTTGCCCAAGTCCCAAAGCTACTCGTACCACTTCTCCGAGCAGCCCGC